GCTTCGGCTTTTCCACCACTTCCGCCGGTTGCACTCGTCGTTGTGACCGAGAGCGTGGCACCTGTCGCACCTGTTTTTTGTCCAGCAAGGGCCTTCCCCTTCTCACAGGGTTTGATCTTGACCGATACTTTTTTGTTGGTGGATTCACCGGCGGCATTCCAACTCCCACCAACCGCAGCTTCTGTACGCACAACGGAGACCTCTGCGCAAGCGTCCAACCATCACGGTACCTGACCTTATCAAAAAGCTCCCGATAGGAGCCTCTCGGCATAGTTTTTGCACCGGAGTCTTCAGCTTCACGCACCTGAGTGAGGGTTCGCACCGCCGCTCTTCCAGTCCCTTTGTTCCCAGAAGATTGTTGTACCCGTACAGATGCATCAGAAGGAACTGCCTTTTCCGGTCCTCCCGGGCGATATCGGACATCACCAACCAATTGCAGAATTTTGCATGCGGTCACTTTGTTGATCCCTTTGTCAACCAAATCTTCCACAAAGATGAACTCTTGCAAGTCCGACACATTGGTCACACCAAGCGTAATCATCACCTCACTTACATGAGGGGTATACACCCACAGGTGTGCGTTGCGAGCCATCCAATTTTCAATTGGCTCCTCCGGATTTTGAAGCTGAGTACCAGTGGATGCAGCCACCGAATTCTTTTGTTCATCAGCTTCTGCTTCATCCAGAGTACCTTTTTCACCGTCTTTTTGTGACACATTGGTCATTTGCAGTGCTTTTGGTGCCGAGGATGAGGAAGATTCAGCTCCCCCACTTGCAGGTGGCTGAAACGTGCTTCTATCCGTAATCTCCCATCCTCTCTCTTTTTCAAACCGGACCTGATTGGCCACCTGTACCAAGTGTTTCAGGAGCGACAGCCGCTCCTCTGACATCTCGTCATGGGAGTACTTGCAGAAATTTAACCCTTTCCGGCAACGTCCTCGGAGGTAATAATCGAAACAGCAATTGTGGAACCCTGCGTCCCTTAGTGACTTCCTGGAAGCATTGTCCCAAGATTTGCCGGGCTCCCAAGTCCCTTCCAATGCTATGTCATCGTTGTGAAGGTACCTGCATGCAGTCCCATATTTACAACCACCTTGATTGTAATACAGACACAGCCGACCTTTTGGCTCACCCGACGTAGGCTCACCCTTTGATGCACCTTTGCCAAAATTGTACTTGGCCCGGAAGGCTAAATCCTCCCGCTCCTGCTGTGCCTCATCCACTGTACCTTCCTCTGTGGGAGGGTCACCGATGTTCCCATCCTCATCATCAGCTTCTTGGCTATTCTTTGGATCAGTTGACCCTCCTCCTGGCCAACCTTCACCATAACGACGATGCTCATAGGAACACTCATCACCATTGCGACACCTTCCCCGATTGAAGAACTTGCACAGCTTGCTGTAACCAGGTGACAACACAGTCTTTGGAGTCATGTGAGCCTTTTTGTACTGGTCAGGGTCCATGTAGGCTTCCATTGGCCTGTTCTCCCTTTTGCTCATGGATTGCACTGCACCATCAAGCTCCTGCAAAAATAGCTTGGTGTCCAACCAAAGCGCGTTCCAAAACTCATCTTCCCCTTGATTCAGCACCGTTGCCACCGCTTCACCCACAACTGGTCGAGAAAATCTCCTTTTTCTGCATGCCAGTTCGAAAAGCGCGTTGTGGTACTGTTTTCGGGAAAAAGTGGTTAACTTCCCCAAGCCTGTGCTTTCTGTACCATCAGGCTTCCAACCATCATTTTGCAAGATGCCATACGCGCGCCGAGCTTCCGCATTGAGGAATGCCTGATCTGCAACACACTCCTGTAAATCTTCCATCGGGCGACCCAACAGCATCCCTGTAATTTTGCCAACATAGGCTTCCTCTTCGTTTCCATTCTCCAGAAGAGCTTTGTAGATCTTTTCTCCATAAAGTTGTCTTTCTTCTCGTTCTTCAGAGGATAACTCCTGTACCACAAGCTCCTCATCGGATTGCTCTTCCTCCTGTTTCCAGTCCCATTGACCGTTGGAATCTCGGTACCATTGACCAACATACCATGAATTCGTCCACCACGTACTCCAGCCGCTGGGTTTCCATTTCCGCAGCGTTGAGGAAGAGTCCTCCACGTCCTCTTCCAAAACCAGAAAGGTGTCCAAGATTATGGTACCATCATCTTCCACTAGTTTCACTGTTCCATTGACAGTATCACCAAATCTGAAATGACACGTATTGTTCCCTTCTGCAGGAATCAATACATTCAAATCACCAAGGTCCAAAAAGGCTCCATACCCATTGATGCAGCGCACTAGACCCATAATCTCATCTCCCTCTTGATAGCAATGTGTCCCAGGTGATTCCAAGGCTCCCGCTCGGGGCACTTTCTTTGCGCGCTCTTCAGAAACCACCTCTGTATCATCGGCTCCTGGCGCATCCTTTGTTTTCACCTTTGAGTCACACTGCTCGTCCTGCTCCACGAGTCCCACAAGCTCATCTTTTTTGTGCTCCTGGATTTCAGGACCTCCCTTTTTCTCCGCCAAAGGCTTTGCCTCATCTGCTGTAGTTCGCTCGGTGTCGACTTCCGGCGAACTTCCAGACGGCAACACTTCTCCCTTCATGGGAGTGGACCCATCATTGGAGTCCTTTGTCACACCTTCTGCAGCAGGCAAATCTTCTTTCACTGCAGGGCAATTGAGTCGATCATCCACGGCAGGCACGCTTTCTTCCACCGCAGGCTCCTTTGGTTCCATGGTTTCCAAAGGAGAATTTCCACCATCGTTGACCACAGCTGCCTCATTGGCTCCGGTGTAGCCCTTGTCATTTCGTTCCTCGCGGCTAACTTCAGGTTGCACCAGTGCGTCCACCTGTGAACCTCCATCATCAGCTGCTGCGGAGACCTGCGCCCCATTGTTGCAGTCGCCCGTGGAACGTAACACCATATGCACCTCAACCCGTGCTTCCTTCGCACTCCAGGTAATATCTGGCGCATCGACCCGCGCATCATTGGCGCTCCAGGCCTCATTTTTCAGATCTTCCGTGTCTCCAGCTATTCCAGAAGCTTCTGTTTCCCTTTGAATGGCAGGAACCTTGGCACCAAACGAAGAGACCTCCTCAGTCGCAACACACGACCTTTTCCCTCCGTCTTCCAAATCTCCAGGACCACATTCCTGAACGACAGGTACCACATCCACCACTCGCTCTTCTGCAGCCGACACAGTTCCGATCTCCACATTGGGAATCTTTTCTTCTGGACCTACCGATTCCACCGCCGCCACACCCTCAGAAAGTGCTCCCATTCCTTCCCGATCCAGATGTTGAGCCCCAGCGATGTCTGTTCGGTTTCCAGGAATCTCCTCTTCATCAGGAGAACCCGAGATCGGGGCGTCACCACCAGCCCTAGGACCGCTATCCCTGATAGTAGAGGAAAAATCTTTTTCACCCAAACTATTCACACTACCCTGGAATGCCCTCGTAGACTCAGTCTTCGGAGTAGAGGATGAAGAATCCAGTGCCGCCTCCATTTCCAGCTCATTGCCCGAAGGAGACTCAACCACCTCGTCACTCTTCATCTTTTCACCTACCACCGGCAATGTCCACTTGCTTTCCTGCGTATCCAGGCAGTAATAATATTGTCTCCCATCTTCATGGAGGTGCCATTCCCACGTTGTCCCATCGCACGCTTTGATCAGATGCTCGTCTTTCCGAAAACCATCCCTTTCAGAGACCTGTCGCATCTCGTCCTCTTCTTCGGACAACTGTCGCAACCTCTCAGCCTCCATCTGTAGGATCTCCTCCTCCCCCATGGCGTATCCAGCAGCAGGTGCAGCTTCAAAGCTGTCCGCACCCTTCTGTTCATGACCGCTTCCACCACCTTGGGAACTCGAAGATGGATCCCTTTTGATCTTGTTCAGAGGCCTCCTGGCCGCTTGCAGCACTTCTCCAATCAGATCGGTCTGAGACTCTTGGTCTACCATTCGACCCGAAGTCGAAGACGACGGCTGATACCCGTGTTTGTGCAACACTCGTAAAACAGTCACCTCCATTTCACGATCTATACCACCAGTCGCGTCCCAGTTCCTTTTCTCACCAGGCTTTGGCGATACAGAGACAGCACGTCCTTCAGCTTCAGCATTGCTAACCATATCCACATTGGGATTCATACCCACATTGGGGCTTTCTGCAACCAAGGCCTCTTCCAGATGTTCTTCAGCGCCGGGAATCACCTCTTCCAACACCGATCTTTCACCCAGAGACTCAGCTGCACCATTTCCAGCTCCACCATTTTGTCCACCATCCGAGGCAGGTTGGAGCCATCGCTTCGGAGAAGGCATTGCTTCTTGATCCCAAAAACCTTGAAAGAACACTTAACCGCAGGGAACCTAATTTGGGCTCATAACCTACGGGGGGACAATCAAGGAAGGAAACCAACTCCCCTAATCGCCCTGGACTTATATTCCCCAGATCGAACCAAGAAACAAACAAGAACACGGATAAGAGCAACCCAGGGGGGAAGGAAAGGGGGAAGGAATCCGCACCCTTACCAAACCCTAAGAACCCAGGCACTACTTTTTGAACTTGTGGCTTTCTGTTCAAGCCCATCTTGAGCCAAACATGGTTTACGGGTTCATTAACCCTTCCAACTTCCAACACTAACTCTTTTCTACAATACCAATTGCAGCTCCGCACCCTAAACCCTAAACCCTAAACCCTAAACCCTAAACCCTAAACCCTAAACCCTAAACCCTAAAGCGCGCCGGTCGCCGGAAAGGACCTCGATCACCCTCCGCGATGTGAAACTGGAAGAGGCCATTGCGGCCGAAGCACAGGGCGAGGTGGTCAAGCAGCCGCTCTTGCGGCCGTGGCTCGGCGCAACGGGGCGTTTTTTTTTTTGGGAATGTAGGGATTAGGGTTTAGGGTTTAGGGTTTAGGGCCACAGCCTTTTGGAGGATTACCAACCCCACCGTTCTAAGTGACGTGGAGCTCAGGCCTCGAAGTGTTGGCGGCCTGCTCCTCGCAGCCTCCTGCATGTTCCTTGGTGGCTGCATCGGCGGTGCCGCAGATGCCTCAGTTGGACGACCGGATCTTGCGCCCTAAACCCTAAAAACCAAAACCCAAAACCCAAAACCCAAAACCCAAAACCCTAAACCCTAAACCCCAAACCCCAAACCCTAAACCCTAAACCCTAATTCCCTAAACGTGGGGAACACGCCGTGAGCCAAAAGGTCGGGTTCTTTGGCCTTTACCTGGAGCCGCGCATCCTGATGTCCAAGCGCCTTGGTGATGTCCTCCTGAGCTCTAAACCCTAAACCCTATTAACCCTATTAACCCTATTAACCCTATTAACCCTATTAACCCTATTGACCCTATTGACCCTATTAACCCTATTAACTGTATTAGCCGTATTAACCCTATTAACCCTATTAACCCTATTAAATTATTAACCCCATTAACCCTATTAACCCTATTAACCCTAATAACCCTATTAACCCTAATAACCCTATTAACCCTATTAACCCTATTAACCCTGTCAACCCTATTAACCCTGTTAACCCTAAACCCTAAACCCGAAACCCCAAACCCTAAATCCTAAACCCTAAACCCTAAACCCTAAACTCCTAAACCCTAAACCCCAAACCCTAAACCCTAAACTCCTGGACCCTAAACCCACACCAAGGGAGTGCCACGAAGTGCAGCCCATACGACACATGGGGCTGGACGCCGTGCATTTGTACGAGCTGGCGATGAGCTTCTACTGTCAGCGTCTGAGATTCTGGGGGTTTAGGGTTTAGGGTTTAGGGTTTGTGGTTTAGGGTTTAGGGTTTAGGGTAGTTGTGTGGTTTCGGAGATGTCGTTTTGGGGTTTAGGGTTAAAGTGTAATAGGTTTTCAGTTTCGCGTAAAACAAAAAGAGTACCCAAAACCCTGAATCCCCGCACCCCACACCCAATAAAACCCGAACCCTCAACCCCGATAAGAGTACCCTAAACCCCAAACTCCTCAAAGCCACCAAAAAAGTCTTTTACCCCAATAAGAGTACCGTAAACCCTAAACCCCTCAAAGCCACCAAAAAGACCTAAACCCCGATAAGAGTACCCGGAACCCTAAACCCTTCAAAGCCACCAACAAAAAGCCTTTACGCCAAAAAGAGTACCCTAGACCCTAAGCCCCTCAAAGCCACCAAGAAAGCCCTAAACCCCCAATAAGAGTACCCTAAACCCTAAACCTCCAATAAGAGTTCTCTAAACCCTAAACCCTAAACCCTAAACCCCAAACCCCAAACCCTAAACCCTAAACCCTAAACCCCAAACCCTGAACCCTAAACCCTAAACCCTCAATAAGAGTCCCCTCAGAGGCCACACTGTCCGCACCTCCGTCATCCTGGAAACTATGGCGCCCCTGATGCTCGGGGCTGCAGGACCTGCGGAAACTTCGGGCTGCCTAGGTTTAGGGTTTAGGGTTTAGGGTTTAGGGTTTAGGGTTTAGGGTTTAGGGTGAGTTGGACGTGTGAAAGTGTCAGGTGATACAATATTTGTAAGAGTAAGTGTGTGATTACTGTATAGGATGGTGATGTTGGTTTGTAGCATTCTTCGTGGTTGCTCGCAACTCTGCATGGAGCTTCCAGAAAGATCGAGGCTGCAACCGCAAATCCCGAGCTCTGAGCCCCAAAGCCCTGAAACCCCAAAAATCTGAACCCTCAACTCTCAACCCTAAACCCTGAACCCTGAACCCTAAAAACCCTAAAAACCCTAAAACCCCTAAACCCTAAGACCCTAAGACCCTAAAACCCCAAACCCTAAACTCTAAACCCTAAAACCCAAGCCCCAAACCCTAAAAACCCTAAAACCCCAAACCCCTAAACCCTAAGACCCCAAGACCCTAAGCCCTGCATCCAGCACCCGCCTCTCCTCGGGGAGCACTTGGAGGTTCAGAGTACTCAGTAACCCACTGGGGTTTAGGGTTTAGGGTTTAGGGTTTAGGGTTTAGGGTTTAGGGTTTAGGGTTTAGGGTTTAGGGTTTAGGGTTTAGGGTTTACGTGAGGGTTTCACCCCATGATGACTGCACTTGTAACCCAAGTATACCCCTATTGGGGTACTTAAGGGCCCTAAACCCTAAATCCTAAACCCTAAGCCCTAAGCCCTAAGCCCTAAGCCCTAAGCCCTAAGCCCTAAGCCCTAAGCCCTAAGCCCTAAGCCCTAAGCCCTAAGCCCTAAGCCCTAAACCCTAAACCCTAAACCCTAAACCCTAAACCCTAACCCTAGAACCCAACCTCCAAGCAGGAGCCGTTGCTGCCTTGCGACTTGCCTACGGGCAGGCCTACTTCAAAGATTGGCCACCTGGGCTTTTTAAGGTTTAGGGTTTAGGGTTAGGGTTTAGGGTTTAGGGTTTAGGGTTAGGGTTTAGGGTTTAGGGTTTAGGGTTTAGGGTTTAGGGTTTAGGGTTTAGGGTTTAGGGTTTAGGGTTTAGGGTTTAGGGTTTAGGGTTTAGGGTTTAGGGTTAGGGTTTAGGGCCTACTTCAAAGATTGGCCACCTCGGCTGTTAGGGTTCCAGGGTGTTTTTAGGGTTATAGGGTTTGAGGGTTTTTAGGGTTCTCGGGTTTTACGGTTTAGGGTTTAGGGCTCGAAGCCCCTAACCCTCAGCCTTAAGCCCCTAAAGCAGCTTCAGCTGAGGACTGACGAGGAGTCGATGTCCGAGCTGAAGAAACTGTACTCTCAACGATCTGCCTTTTGCTCCGAAGTGTTAGAGTTTGGGTCTACTTGGTCAGTTAATGCCCCTGAACGTTTAATGGGTCCCTAAACCCTAAACCCTAAACCCTAAACCCTAAACCCTAAACCCTAAACCCTAAACCCTAAACCCTAAACCCTAAAACCCCTAAACCCTAAACCGTAAACCCTAAACCCTAAACCCTAAACCCTAAACCCTAAACCTTAAACCCTAAACCCTAAACCCTAAACCCTAAACCCTAAACCCTAAACCCTAAACCCCTGAGGCCTCCATGAATCCTGAGCGCTTAGCCCCTCAACCCTGCACTCCATCACCTGAATGCCCGCAACCATCTCAGGCTGGGGGCCTCTTTGTGCTGAGGCCCGGCAAATCTCCAAGGGTCTAGGATTTAGGGTTTAGGATTGAGGGCTTGGGGTTTAGGGTTTAGGATTTAGGGTTTAGGATTTAGGGCTCAGGGTTTAGGGTTTAGGATTTAGGATTTACGGTTCTGGGGTTCGGGAGGGTCTTTTGCTGAGTGAGGGAAATCCGTCGTTAAGCATGTATATAGGTAGAGCCTATTTATGCGCATATATATATATGGTATGTGTATATATATAAGCATATATATATATACACATACATATACATACAGAATTCATAGATATCTTTCTTAGAGGTTCAGTCAGGGTACTTAGAACCCCATTATAAGTGTAGTTATAACCCACTTATAAACGCCTTAAGTACCGCATTGGGGTGATCATGGGGTTATAAGTAGGTTACTAAGTACCATGAACCTCCAAGTAGGCCCTAAACCCTAAACCCTAAACCCTAAACCCTAAACCCTAAACCCTAAACCCTAAACCCTAAACCCTAAACCCTAAACCCTAAACCCTAAACCCTAAACCCTAAACCCTAAACCCTAAACCCTAAACCCTAAAACCCTAAACCCTAAACCCTAAAAACCCTAAACCCTAAACCCTAAACCCTAAACCCTAAACCCTAAACCCTAAACCCTAAACCCTAAACCCTAAACCCTAAACCCTAAACCCTAAACCCCAAACCCTAAACCCCAAATCGTAAAGCTCGTTTTTGCCAGGTGCTGGCGAGTCCGGGTGGCAGCGCTCTTCTGCTTCCAGGTCGTTGTGATGATGTGGCTCCGGTACACGGTGGATCTGCTCATGGACGTGCAGGCTTAGGGTTTAGGGTTTCGGGTTTCGGGTTTAAGGGTTTGGGGTTTAGGGTTTAGGGTTTAGGGTGCAGGCAATGACGATTTTCCTGCAGCACGCAGAGCATGCGTTCTTCCTGCTCAACCTGGCGGGAGTCTTCCTGGGACTGATTTGGACAGCCTACGAGTTCTACATGGTCGGCAGGATGCGCTTTAGGGTTTAAGGTTCAGGCTTTAGGGTAGGAGCTATAAGGAACCACGGGCGTGGAGGGGGGGGGGGTGCAGGGTGACCCCATATTAGGGTACTTCTCTAGATGAGGGTCCTGTTTTGAAACCCCGATGGATATATATATATATATATGTAATATATATATATATAATATAGTACGGCACCCTTCAAAGAAGCACCCCAAAAGTGACCCTAATATCGAGAACTACCCATATTCAGGTAGGACCCAAAGTGAGTATTCCCTGTATGAGGTCTTGAGGGCTGACTGGAACTCATGAAGGCTTTCTTTGGGAAAATATGGGCCCGAAACGGTTTCGGGTTTAGGGTTTAGGGTTTAGGGTTTCACCCCCCCCCCCCCCCTGCTTCCTTGATAAGGTTGTTTCTTTCGATCTTGTGGGTACACACTTACTGCAGCAACCGACTGCGACTGTGAAACATGATTGCATGGCAAAGCCTAGAGAAGCGCCTTATTTACCCAAGGACCCCCCCGCCCCCATACACCGGAAGTGTGTTTAGGGTTTTAGGGCTTAGGGTCCTTGGAATAGCACGCCCTAAGCCCTGAGCCCTGAGCCCTAAGCCCTAAGCCCGAAGCCCGAAGCTTTAAGCCTTAAGCCCTAAACCCCAAACCCTAAACCCTAAACCCTAAACCCTAAACCCTAAACCCTAAACCCTAAACCCTAAACCCTAAACCCTAAACCTTAAACCCTAAACCCTAAACCCTAAACCCTAAACCCTAAACCCTAAACCCCAAACCCCAAACCCCAAACCGCAGCTCAGGTCATCGCTGGGGGCTCGACCGTGGGGGGCTCGAAGATCCCGCGCAGCGAGATCTTCTTCGCGGGCCTCACGCTGCCAGTGCTGGGACACTTGGCAAGGGTTTAGGGTTTAGGATTTAGGGTTAAGGGTTTAGGGTTTAGGGTTTAGGGCTTAGGGTTCCCTTATAAAGTAACCTACCGAAAAAAGGGTGCCCTAACTATAATATGGTTACTGGGCTACTAAGGACAGCATGTCACCTACCTGGCCATGCTCTCCCTGTTCCGCGGAGAGGTGTGGGAGCCCTAAACCCTAAACCCTAAACCCTAAACCCTAAACCCTGAACCCTGAACCCTAAACCCTAAACCCTAAACCCTAAACCCGAAGGCCTAAACCCTAACCCCTGACCCTAAACCCTAAACCCTACACCGCAGGCGAGGGTTGAAGCAAGAAGAGCTTTCGAAGCCCGAAAAAGGCCGAAGGCCCTAACGCCCTACAGCGCTCGCGCGCACACATCCGCGAAGTCAGGTACATCCCTTCCTCTTTGTCTCCACGCTGTCGGAGGCTATCCTGGAGTCGTCCTTCTCCTCCTACATCCAGACCTATGTATCTAGGCCCTAGTATTCTGAGGGTTTGGGATTTAGGGTTTAGAGTTTCGGGTTTAGGGTTTAGGATTTACGTTACGGTAGAGGGTTTATTAAACCATCCAAACCCTAAATTGGGTTTTTTGTTTAGGGTTCAACCCCAAAACCTCCTTTGTTGTAGGTTAATCCTGCAAGGGGCTTTACAGTAGTAACCCGCCAAAATAGGGTCTAGAAGCCTAGGTTCATTCGAAGAACGCCCAGGGAGCATCTAGGGTTTAGGCTGTATCAATTAGGGGCCTCCACATACTTGAAGGTTGGTATACTTGAAGGTTGGCGGGTGATATTCAGTAGGGTTTTTTTGGGAGCCCGAAAAAAGGTTACCACCAGAGGTAGCTGTAGTTTCCCTACATATGTCCCCAATGAGAACTTTACTGGAGCCTCAAGTAGCGCGCTGTCGATCTAGGCAGTCGTCTTCACCGACGAGATGACATGGGCACAGAAGAGCCAGCTCTACTTCTCCATCTTCATGTCCTTCGTCTCCATCGGGTATGCCTTCAGCACCATCGACATGTTCAAGAACGGGCGGATGTTGGTGAAGATTCCGGGCTTCTGCAAGGGCTTTGATGCCCGCTTCTTCACGGTCTTCTTCTTCCGCGTGGCTGAGATCACCTCGCGGGCCACATCCCTGGCACTCTTTCAAGCCCCTTTAGCCAAGATGTAGGGTTGAGGGTTTCGGGTTTAGGGTTTATGGGTTTACACTGTACTTGGACAACAGATATATACTTTAAAGCCTTTTTTTTGGGCTTCCCTTAACTTTCTAGGAACAACAGAAGCTTTCCCCTTTTTATTCACCTGGGTTAACTTTCTAGGAACAACAGAAGCTTAACCCTTTTTATTCACCTTGGTTATCGCAGCAGCATTAACCTTCTTTTTTCCGGGATATTGGAGAAACTGGTAAGGCCATCACCCGGCCCTACGGCATGTTCGTGCTGATCGCGGCCGACGCCCTCATCATGGCCTCCCTGACGATCTTGTTTCAATGTCAGGTGGGGGATGACCCTAAACCCTAAACCCTAAACCCTAAACCCTAAACCCTAAACCCTAAACCCTAAACCCTAAACCCTAAACCCTAAACTGAAGACCGGCCCCCTTTCCAGCGATAGGGGCCGGTCGTTAGCAGGCCACCGGCAGGGGCCTGCGGACCCGTAGGCGAAGGCCGAAAGGCGAGCCGTAGGGTCCTGGACCTCAGGTCCACGCGGCGCTCGAATAGGCCGCTTCTGTCAGCCTATATAATAATAACCCTAAACCTTCGTGCAAACGACCGGGCAGGCTTGAAAACCTCCTAAGGCCCGGAAGCTTAAATCAAGAGTTTGGGAACCTCAAATTAAGGCCCGGAGGCATAAATTAAGGGTTTGGGAACCTAAAATTAAGGCCCGGGGGCTTCAATTCAGGGTTTGGGAGCAGCCCTACCTTCAAGGCCCGAAGGCTTAAATTAAGGGTTTGGGAACCGAAAATTAAGGCTTGGAGGCTTAAATTAAGGGTTTGGGAACCTAAAATTAGAGCCCGGATGCTTAAATTAAGGGTTTGGGAACTTAAAATTAAGGCCCGGAGGCTTAAATTAAGGGTTTGGGAACCTAAAATTACGGCCCGGAGGCTTAAATTAAGGGGTTGGGAACGTAAAATTAAGGCCCGGAGGCTTAAATTAAGGGTTTGGGAACCTAAAATTAAGAGCCCACCTTTTAAGAGCCCACCTTTAAGCCCTACCTTCAAGGCCCGAAGGCTTAAATTAAGGGTTTGGGAACCGAAAATTAAGGCTTGGAGGCTTAAATTAAGGGTTTAGGAACCTAAAATTAAGGCCCGGAGGCTTAAATTAAGGGTTTGGGAACTTAAAATTAAGGCCCGGAGGCTTAAATTAAGGGTTCGGGAACCTACAATTAAGGCCCGGAAGCTTAAATTGAGGATTTGGGAACCTAGAATCAAGGCCCAGCGGCTTAAATTACGGGCTTGGGAACTTAAAATTAAGGCCCGGAGGCTTAAATTCAGGGTTTGGCCCCACCTTCAAGGCCCGGAGGCTTAAATTAAGGGTTTGGGAACCGAAAATTCAAGCCAGGAGGCCTAAATTAAGGATTTGGGAACCTACAATTTAAGCTCGGAGACTTAAATAAAGGGTTTGGGTAGAATTAAAGCCCGGGGACTGAAATTACGAGCTTGGGAATCTAAAATTAAGGCCCGGAGGCTTGAATTAAGGGTTTTGGAACTTAAAATGAAGGGTCGGAGGCTTAAATTCAGGGTTTGGGAACCCACGTTTAAGGCCCGGAGGCTTAAATAAAAGGTTTGGGAACCTGCGAAAATTAGGCCTGGAGGCCTAAAATAAGGGGTTTGGGAACCAAAAACTAGGGTTCGGAGGCTTAAATTAAGGGTTTGGGACCTTAAAAGGGCCCGGAGGCTTAAATTAAGGGTTTGGGACTTTAGAAACACAGGCCCGGAGGCTTAAATTAAGGGTTTGAACATTGCTAAGACCACGGAGTGGAATCGAGTCGAGCCTGCTGCTTTTGCCGTCGCCAATCCTGAAAGGGCTTGAAAGTCTTCCAGGGACCACGGAGTGGAATCGAGTCGAGCCTGCCGCTTTTGCCGCAGCCAATCCTGAAAGGGCTAAACGTCCAGCCTTGAAAAGGTTTCGAAGAACTGCTGAGTGGAAACGAGTCGAGACTGCTGACGGTTGCTCATTTTCGGGGTTCTGCTCTACCAAACCATATATCCCCCCTTGATAGGGGGGTAGGGGGGTAGACAACCCTAAACCCGTCCAAGGTTTGTATTTTGGGTGGGAGGGTGGGCATTGCAGCTCATGCGCCGACCCCCAACCACTTCATGGAGGGGGTCGAAGCGCACTCGCAGCGAAAACCCTAAACCCTAAACCCTAAACCCTAAACCCTAAACCCTAAACCCTAAACCCTAAACCCTAAACCCTGAAACCCCCAGGTGGGCCGCTACACCTCAGTGGGCCGGTTGGCCTTTGTGCGCACCTGGGGCCTCATTGTGAGGGGGCTTTCGAGAGTGGAAGGGGAGACCTCAGCCCGAAACCCTAAACCCTAAACCCTAGCATTAAACCCTAAACCCTAAACCCTAAACCCTAAACCCTAAACCCTAAACCCTAAGCCCTAAACCCTAAACCCTAAACCCTCAACCCTAAGCCCCCTAAGAAGCCGCCGTTGGCTTCAGTGGCCTTCGATCAAGGCCAGAACTTCTTTTACGTGCTGCCTTCGGTGCTCTGCTGCCGGATGGCGTGCCCTGGGCGGTTTTAGGGTTGTAGGGTTTTGGGGTTTTGGGGTTTTAGGGTTCTAGGGATTCGGGGTTTAGGGTTTTAAGGTGGTTTAAGGTTTTAGGGTTTTAGGGTTTTGTTTTAGGGTGTTGGGGTTTTAGGGCTTTAGGGTTTACGAGGGTGGTCGGGGTGCTGATGTTGTGCAGCCCTTGCTTCCTTGTCGATGGGCGCTAGGGGGGGGCTGAGGATTTTTAGGGTTTAGGGTTTAGGGTTTGGGGTTTAGGCTTTGGTGTTTGGGGTACGCAGATCCTTGAAGCTCCGAAACCCTTCAGCTCTAAAACAGCTCAGATCCCAAACCCCTAAAGTCCAAAGAAAACCCACAGCCCCAAACCCCAATCCCCCCACCTAATTCCCAAACCCTAAACCCTTAACCTTAAAATCCTCAAACCTTAAAGCCTTAAGCCCAAAGCCCTAAGCCCTAACCCTAAGCCCTAAACCCTAAGCCCTAAGCCCTAAGCCCTAAGCCCTAAGCCTTAAGCCCTAAGCCCTAAGCCCTAAGCCCTAAGCCCTAAGCCCTAAGCCCTAAGCCCCAAGCCCTAAGCCCTAAGCCCTAAGCCCTAAACCCTAAACCCTAAACCCTAACCCCCCCCCCCCCCCCCCCCCCCCCCGCCTCGTGCCCAAGGCCCATGTTGGAGCAGGACACGGTCCTGACCATACCCCCATGGGCCTATTACATGGTCAGGCATGGCTTGGAGAAGCAGGTTTAGGGTTTAGGGTTTAGGGTTTAGGGTTTAGGGTTTAGGGTTTAGGGTTTAGGGTTTAGGGTTTAGGGTTTAGGGTAAAAGAATTGACCCTTTCTTACAGGGTGGGGAATGGCTCGAGGTTTTGGGGCTTTGGGGTTTTCGTTCGGGTTTTTGGGTCTTGCGGTTTTCTGGTCTGTGGGTCTTCGGGCTTTAGGTGTTTTGGGTCGTAGTTTTTTTTTGGTAGGGTTTAGGCATTTAAGATTTTGGGGAGCATGACGGCTAATGGTTCAGCTTCCTCTGTTTCTTTTGTTAGGGTTCGGTTGTGGCCAGCTGGGGGCCGTTGTATCTCTCTGTTGTTGAAGACAGGTCTCTACATGGTCAGTTCTCTAAAGGATGCTTCACTTTGTGGGTGCCGTACATACAAGAGAGACAGCTTTGTCGAGGGTTGGTCCAAGGTTTCGGGCGTAGGGTCGAGGGGTGTTGGTGCGGAACCCCAATTTTTATAACGGACCCCAAAACAAAGGCCCTAAACCCAACACCGTAGAGTTTAGCCCTAAACTAGGTCTGGAATTGAAAAAGGCTGCCCCAGCTCCGCATGCGAGAGAAACCTTCCTGAACCCTAAACCGTAAACCGTAAACCCTAACCCTAAACCCTAAACCCTAAACCCTAAACCCTAAACCCTAAACCCTAAACCCTAAACCCTAAACCCTAAGCCCTAAACCCTAAACCCTAAACCCTAAACCCTAAACCCTAAACCCTAAACCCTAAACCCTAGAGATTGCAGGCTTCTGGAAATTGGTGCGATGTTTGCTATCGGTGGCCGATGGCTGGATTGGGACCTCGAGGCTGCGAAGGAACTCTTTGCAGATGACGCTTACCGGTCCTCAGTAGGGAAGTAACTCCTAAACCCTAAACCCTAAACCCTAAACCCTCAACCCTCAACCCTCAACCCTCAACCCTCGACCCTCAACCCTCAACCCTCAACCCTCAACCCTCAACCCTGTAGAGATTACGGTTTAGGTTTTGGGCCACTTTCTATAGGGAAAGAGTAAGGACGGCCTGATCATCGGCGCATTTCTGACCAGCACCCTGGCCATGTTCTTGACCGCCATCCTCATCAGGACAGGGGGGGGGGGGTCCATGTTTTGCATTGCGCTTGTGAGGAGCCAGGACCTCTAAAGCCCCAAACCCTAAGCCCCAAAATTCTCCCAACCCTCTCAAGCCCACAAACTATGCCAACAGTCGGCGTGAGGACTGTTCTGAGCGTCAGAACCTTAATGGACGCCTCCTCGGACATCTGGAGCGACGGGGAGTTCAACAACGTGCAGCATGCGCTCAAGAATCGAATCCTCAAGGAGCCGCAAACCCCAGGTCTACCAGGTTTAGGGTTTAGGGTTTAGCGGGTTCAGGGTTCCGTGGTAGGTTCGGAGTTTGCGTTAGGGTCGGGGGTTTTTGAGGAATTTAGGGTTCTAGGTTAGAATGTTCCCCCTGATACTAACAGTCCTTAATGGCAATTATTATAGGGGGTTTCTATAATCCCCATTAAGGAGCTTTTAGTGCAAGGGGGGAGTATCCCAAGTTCGAGGTGTGCTGTTGGTTTTTTTGGGGGCTTCTCTTGTTCTTTCTGAGGACCATGACAGCGACAAGCGCGACGTGAAGCTCATCATGAAGATCCTTGCGCCATGGGCTGATGTGGGTATAAACCATTTGGGTTTCTTCTTTATCATAAGGGAATCTTACTAGTTGGGGATCCCTATTTTCGAAAACCCCCATTGTTGTTGTTCCATGCGCCCGCCCCCCAAGGCTCCATACAACCCTTTCTAACCCTCTGCGACCCTTTTTGACGACGTATATATGCATATATTTGTATATATATATATATAGATATATACATATGCATTATAACCCCCAAATCCTTTTTAGCCATATATGTATATATGTATAAATAATATACATATATACACATATGTATATATATATATATATATATATATATATATTTCTATTTATATTTATGTGCATATTTAGGACCCTAGAGAAGCGGCTGTATCCTAACGGAACCCTACA